TAATCATCTATTTCCTTTAAAACCGTGTTTAGATCCCCGGATGGACATGCCCTAAGATCTCCGGGTATATATGTAAAACATGTACATGAACAAGATATATGTAACTTCCATAATTTATTCATTACTTATGTGGTTATCTATTTGATCACATTATAGCTTCTCGGTTCCGATAAGGATCTACAAGAAAATTTGGCAGTGTTAATTGAATATCGGCACGAAATTCAGTACAAATATATGCCAGAGATTAGAGAAAAGTGGACAAAAATTATATAGAAAAATATTAAAATTGAGTTTGTCGGAATCTTTTTTGGTCAAACGCTCAATGTATAATATTTATCCTAAAGATATAGTTAGTGAACACAACATGAATGGGGTAGTTGTAAAGTATCCTCTTGTTCTCTTTCTCTTGTTTATTTCTAATCACATATTCCAATCATTTTTCTCATTATATTTTATTTCTCAGAGCATATACAAAGACCGTTGTAGGAATCGTGGGACAAATATAATAATATCTTCATATGATGTTGATATAAATGTCTATCAACTATGTATAAGATGTACATTATCGGTAACTATGATCATTTAAATAATAACAAAATTCTTAGAGAGATTTGTTTCTAAGAGCATATGCATTGGTGATATTCATCACAGGCTCTATAATATATTAAAAAACTAACTTTTAAAAAAAGAAAAAGAAATTCAAATGAAATTAATAAATAGACTAATCAAGTGAAGATAGGTGTAGAGTTCCTTTTGAGATAGTCTCTTCCAGTCGTCCTCCGAACAGAGTCGGTTATGCTACTTTTCCTTGCCACCTCATTTTAATTTTATTTTTTTCTTTTTCTTTTTTGTGTCAGAACCTATAGGAGTATATGCAATGCGGGTGCTCTAATGCTTTAGCCACACACATCACAACACACTATAAACAAAAGCAGCAGTGTCTTAATATTTAACCAAGAAATAGGAGTGTGTCCTTTAACAACAAAAAAAAAGAAGTGTGATACTACTATTTTTTATAATTTTGACTAAAATACACATGACAACATTTATTTTCATGTGATAGCCGAATTCTAAGACACCGTATATCTTTAATTTTGCATTTTTTCTATGATCAGTGTTTATATTGATAAATCATTACAACCTGTTCCAAGAGGAAAACAGAACCGAAAAACAAAAAATTGTCTTGCTTCGAATATATGAAATGTATATAACTTTGATTTGTATATACATGTTATTTAGCTGCGAATATATGATATTTCAAGTTATGCAGAAGTTGGTTAATTAAGTAATTGATTCGAAACTTTTATACATAGAGGTACACTGATAGTTGACAAAAGAAAAGGTACATATTTTCGTGCTACATATATAACAAGATACTGATGTCATTTTTAGTTGACTAAAAAAATACTTTATTTTCTGAACTCATAAAAGAATTATGCAGACAATTAATCTTTGTTTTATTGGCCCTATTGTACAATGCGTTTGCCTTGTGTTGGTGAAGACCACAGAGGGAATCTCTTGGCCTTTTTCATTTCTTCAGCGGCGTTGAACGTCATTATAGCCGTATCATGATTTTGACATGATTATTTTTAGGTAAAGTTACATGTAAATTATAGAAAAATGTAAGGTCTATAAAAGAAATTTTTTTTGTTTAATTTATACTAATTACGATAATATAATGTAAAGTAGGAGTATTATTTTATAATGAAGTATAATTTGTAGATTTGATAAAAGTCAGAATTTTATCTATTATTTTTCAGTTTTACTATGATCTTATATTTCTAAGTTGTGAATGTTTTGTTATATACCAATAACGATCGAGGACTCAGTAAACTTTTGATAATGATCTGGTCCTTTTTCTGATGCAGAAATTAAAAATATAAGTTTTATCTTTTTCCAAAACAAAATGTTCCGTTTCATGTTCATCCATGTCTCGATGGATTCTTCTCAAACAAAAATTATGGTTTCTACCATTTAAGTAAATAAACATGATAATGTCATTTGACCTTATATCCTTTCATGGATTGTTTGAATATGACTATCTCTTAAAAATATATCAGTTTAAATCTGAAATACAGATATACTCCATGGCTTACTTGAAATATTTGAACAATAGTCAAGATAATAATTAAAATGGGGGCTTGAACTGGGCATATAAAATAGGTAGACAATAGTGTCAAACTTTAATGATGAAGATAAAGATATTGTGGAGTCCCAACACATCCACCTATCCGCCTAACCACAAATAAATTCAGTTCTCTATCATTCTCTCTAAATGGGCAATGGTGTCTTCTTGTATTTAATGTCACATCTATTAAAATCATATCAAACGTTTCTATATATGTGTCACTGAAGATATCAGTGCGCAGAGTGTATATATTAAAAAGAAAAGTTATGTATATAAAACAAATTGTAGAAATACGTAATCTAAGTGAGTATATGTAACAAAAATTGAGCAAGATATAAAGAGAAAAAAGGAAGAGAAAGCATTAGTAAAATGGTAGTGGCAATTAGGAGGGACCATGAGTAATCATGAGCTTAAGCTACATTTTCCCATGGATTCCTCGGAACCAGTTTTTAATTATCTTCCTATAGGTTAGTTAATAAGGTTTAATTAATAGAGATACAGAGAAAAGAGTCATTAGTGTTGAATTATGTTTGAAGACAAAATCCAAAAAATATACGCAATGAGTGCTTAATTGCTTATAGCCTTGTATGATGATAAAACTGATTATGGAATATAAATATCTGAAATTTGAAATACAGAAGAAAAAATATAGAGTAATGAATATATAAATAGTTGAAAATCAGAGAAACACAAACCACAATCATAAACGCATGAAATCAGAACGGTCCTGCTGATTGCAGAGTGTGTGTGTCTATTCCATATCAAGATATGGGGACCATGTTCCTCTGGGTTGATCCTTATGTTCTCTACAGTGCACCTCCACTACTTATTTGCCACGTGTTAGATTTGTACCTGACTATATCTCACTTAGGCCCAGGCCCACCACCCTGTATAGTCCGGCTAGGTTCTTGCGTACCTCCTCCGCCTTTGATGGAGCTTGAGGCGACATGATATATCCACAAACAGTAGAACCGACAAAAACAAGATCAAAGAGGTACCAAAACTCCTTTTATTTTGGGTTAAAATTAGGAATTTAATCCGAAAACTATACCACCATTTTGTTTTCATTGGTAAAACTTAGCTCGTTTATTTCATTCTTTTTTTTTTCTTTTGGTGAATTCTAAAAGTTCAATATACACTCCTATAAGTTATCAAAATATAAACTAAATAAATTGTATTTAGGATGTATATAACGAGAATATCGTGAAACTGAATGGACGTACACATGCAGTTTATGTGCATGGTGTAGATAAGGAGACAGGAGAGCATCACGTGTTTGAGAATCTAATGTATCGTACAAAGAAGTTGCAGTGCACTAAACGAGTTCCATACCAGCACGAGTACCATTGTAGCCAGTCCTATTAGGCTATAACTTCACTTTCCCTATCTTTTTCTTTTTGTGTTTACTCGATTAAATGGGCTCTAAGTCAAACTCAATTTACGCAAATTTTTGTAACCTTTCTTGGATCTATTTGAGTAGTGAACGTGGTTAATTGCTCTTACAAATTAGAGTTTCCTTGCCGGAAACAACTAAATTACGAACAACAATGCTTAATTATGACCATATATTATAAAATATGTCGCATGTCTTAATAGAGGCTATAGAGCTGCTATTTTAAGAAGATCATATGTATCTCTACTTTCATTTCAGAAAAATCTGCTTCCATCGAAATTTAGGCCTACAAACTCCATATGGAAGATAGTAAACAGGATTATAACTTTTTATCTATTACTAATGCATAGTAGAAAATTTATGATGAGCTTTTGGTTCTTGTATAAAAATAAATCATAAAAATACCAACCATGATGAATCCTATGACGTTTAACACATTAATTTTATAATATCAAAATTTATTTTACTAACAACGTGATGACTGTGTGTCTGTGCAACCAAATGAAAGTCTAGAAAAATATCACTTGATCCAATATATATTTTACTCCAAGTAGTTAGTTGATGGATCAAGATCGATCGACGAGATGCTATCTCTTCCATGCTTTTGTAGGCTTACTCATGAAAGATACGAAACTTGAGAGGTCCATTCTCATCAATGTCCTCTGTATTAACAAAACCTCAAAACGACTTATCAGATTCAACAAAAGTTCGTGCTTAAGTCTCTTTCATTTGTCCCTCTTCTTTCAGCTAATTAATTTTGAATTATCGTTGTCATTCCAACTCAAAGAGTTTCTAATCCTTCGATTATAAACTCAAATAGTATATATACAGCTCTTCAAATGAAACTTGAGAAATATATTCTAAAATTATTTGAGATAACTTGGAAACCAAAAATGTGTATCTTGTAGACTAACTATTATGGATTGTCAAACCCCGGTTATGAACTGAAATCTGTAAAGTCCTAATAATAAAAAAATGTAAAAATTTATCGTAACAAAATTATAGTGATTTGAATATTTGTGGAAAATCACGATAAGTACCAATTGGTTAACATAAAAAAAAAATTTGTATGGTATTCAACCAAATAAATTTAAGTTCTTTGATCATATTTAACAAAAAAAAAAAGTTCTTTGATCATAACAAAAAAGTATTATTCGGGATAAAAATTGAGGAAAATTACAAAAACAAAAGGAAACATTTTCTCGGATAATTTGCTGAGAAACAAAAAGTAAATCGCGAGTTTTCTTTTTGAGAGAGGGAGAGAGAGAGAGAGAAAGAAAAACTGAAAAAGCAATAAAACGGAAGAGAAAAAGCAGAGTGATAAAATAGCTTCGTTGTCACTTGTCACTCTATAAATCTCACTCCATTGACAACCTTTCACTTCCATCAAAACCCTCTCAACACTTTCTCTCTCTCTCTCTTTCTTTCTCTCTCTCTCTCCCCACTCCGTCTCTCTATCTCTTTCTCTCTCTATCTAAAATGGAGAAACCCATGGTTCCGACATGGAGACCCGACCCGGTTTACCGTCCGCCGGAGACACCGCTTGAGCCGATGGAGTTCCTCGCTCGCTCCTGGAGCGTCTCTGCTCTCGAAGTCTCCAAGGCTCTAACACCTCCGAATCCTCAGATTCTCCTCTCCAAAACCGAAGAGGAGCCCATCTCCGGCGACGGCGATACGGAGGAGAACGGACTCGTCTCCGGAAACCCATTCTCCTTCGCTTCTTCCGAAACTTCTCAAATGGTCATGGATCGTATCTTGTCTCACTCTGTAAGCCCCCTTCTCTTCTTTCAGATAAAAACAGAGCATTTGCGGACAAAACGAAGCATTTTTTCTTTTGTTAGATGTTGACAAATTATAATCAGTTTCAGTTTCTTTTTTGTTTTTTTTTTCCTCAGATTCTTAATTTCACTATTTTTAATTTCTCTCTTTCATCTTCATCGAATTTTCCCATTTTTGTTCATGAATCTCTGTATTAATGAAGGAATTTTCACGCGCAATAATTGTAATTATTAACCAAACAAAAAAAAAGAAGAAAAATTTATGATTGCATATCTACGCACTCGCTTTCTGGGTCCCTTATAAACATAATCACAAGCTTGTGGATTTGTCATCATCTCTCAAACATGAGTTCTCTTGATTCTACTTTTGTCTCATCTTCGCTTCATCTTTTAATAATTTGACAGCAGGAAGTGTCGCCAAGAACATCTGGTCGGCTTTCACATAGCAGTGGTCCTCTCAACGGTTCTTTAACCGACAGTCCTCCTGTCTCTCCTCCAGAATCCGACGACATTAAGGTCTCTAATCTTCTCTTCTCTAATCCTATACTTATCGCAGTCTAATTTTTAAAGAAAAATCTGGCTTTTTTAAAATTGTTTAGTACTAAAAGCATGTTCTTCTGGGTTTCTGCCATTTTTGCGTTTCTCTCCATGTAAATGTTTCACATTTTTACTGCGTCACTGACAATTTGGGTACAATGAGAGACAGTGAAATCAAAACAAAACAAAAAAAGAATCTCATTTTGCCTTTCTCTTATTCCAACATTACCCAGAGATCATGTTTTCTTCCTCCATTGCAGTTTCCGAGAAAACTATTCATCATTATTTTCGAATTTTAATATTGGGTAGAAATACAATTAATTACTCCTTAATCTTCTTAATTAATTGAATTTCTGGGTCTTGTGTATTATTCTAGTGACGCTTTGGTCTAAAGCAATCTCCTTTACTTTGATTTGATTTTGTCTTTTTCTTGTTCATCACTCTTCCAAGTTTTTACCTTTTTTAGATTTTGCTTCATTCAATTCTTTATCCATTTCTGGCGGTTGCTTAATTTTGACTTTACTATGCAGCAATTTTGTCGAGCGAACAACAATGCACTGAACAACATTAACTCTCAGTTCCGTTCAACGGCGACAACTCCGGGACCTATAACCGCCACAGCGACGCAGTCGAAGACGGTGGGACGGTGGCTTAAGGACCGGAGAGAGAAGAAGAAAGAGGAGACGCGAGCACACAACGCTCAGATTCACGCCGCTGTCTCTGTTGCCGGTGTGGCTGCAGCTGTTGCTGCCATCGCAGCGGCCACCGCCGCGTCTTCTAGCTCAGGCAAGGATGAGCAGATGGCTAAAACCGACATGGCGGTTGCTTCCGCGGCGACTCTTGTGGCTGCTCAGTGCGTGGAAGCTGCTGAAGTTATGGGAGCTGAGAGAGAGCATTTGGCCTCAGTTGTTAGCTCCGCCGTCAATGTTCGGTCTGCCGGAGATATCATGACTCTCACCGCCGGAGCAGCTACAGGTTTAGTAACTTCGAAAATCTCTGTTATGGGTTTTGATAAAGGTTTGGTTTTTAAAGGAGAATTGATCTTGGGGTTTTTGAGTGGCTTTAAAAGTTTGAAACTTGATGAAGAATTCGAATCATTTGTTGTTAAAGTTCTGATTTTGATGAAGGAAATGTAAAAATTGATTTAGGGATGGAGTCAAAATTGGAACTTTATGAAGAAATCGAAGTTAATGTTGTGTAATTTTTGGTGCAGCGTTAAGAGGAGTAGCGACATTGAAGGCGAGAGCGATGAAGGAAGTGTGGAACATTGCCTCCGTGATTCCAATGGACAAAGGACTCGCTTCTACTGGAGGATGCAGCAATGTTAACAATGGTAGCAATGGAAGCTCAAGCAGTAGTCACAGTGGCGAACTTGTTCAACAAGAGAATTTCCTGGGAACTTGTAGCAGAGAGTGGCTCGCTAGAGGTTGCGAACTTCTCAAACGTACTCGCAAAGGTAATAAATTTTGTATCTGTTATCTTTTTTTAGTTTACGTTATAGTTATTGGATCTTTTTGTGTAATGTTTGTGTTACTTTTGCAGGTGATCTCCACTGGAAGGTGGTTTCTGTTTACATCAACAAGATGAATCAGGTAAAAGATTTGATTTTTTTTCTTTATGGTGTCTCGAGTTTCGTTCACTTTAGAAAATGATCGTTGATCTGATGAAAAAGATTAAAGAGAGCCAAATTATTTGTGAATCAGTGGGAATCTTTAGTTTACTTCACATGGATGTGAACTTTGTTAGATTGAAAAAAAAGAGAGATTTCAAACGGCAGGAAAAGAAGAGAAAGCAGAAACTAAACTAAAGCTAAAAGATAAAAGCAATTGGTTATCACAATGATGATGAAAATGAAGTCATGGGATCCACTATTGTCTTTTGCTTAAGCATCTCTCTGAGAATAACCAATTTGTTTTGATTATTGAACTTGTAGGTTATGTTGAAGATGAAGAGCAAGCATGTTGGAAAAACCTTCACCAAGAAGAAAAAGAGTAAGAGATCATCTACTCTAATTACATATAACATCTCTTTTCGTAAACACGCTTTAAATTTAAAATCTGAAATGTTTGGTAGGAGTCTAGAAGAATTCTCTAAATATAATTCATCTAAAGGGTTTAAAACAAAGAATGTTTCTGATTATTGAGCTAGATATCTCTCATAGTACCAAAGTTGAAAACTTTAGCTTTTTGTCACTATATACTGTCACAATGAGTCCATTATATGTGAACCCTGGTAAAGAGAGAATTCAAAACTTCGATGTGGGTCTGCTTTGGATTTGGGGATTTGGGAAGAAAAAGGAAAAAAAATTGAAAAACAAAAAGCAAAAGTGTGTCTGTCTATGACTAAAGTAACAACTATGAGATCAAAACAAAAGAGAGGCCCTCAATCTTTTACTTTTTGTCTATTCTTTTGAATGTGAACTTGAAGACTCTTTGCTTAATTATTTTAACTTTGTTTCCAATTTTGTTCAGACATTGTTCTTGAAGTGATCAAGAATGTCCCTGCCTGGCCTGGACGACATTTGCTAGAGGGAGGAGATGACTTGAGATACTTTGGTTTGAAGACGGTTTTAAGAGGTGATGTGGAATTCGAAGTCAAGAGCCAGAGGGAGTATGATATGTGGACACAAGGTGTTTCAAGGCTCCTTGTTGTTGCTGCTGAGAGGAAATTTAGGATGTGAAAGACTTTTTTTTGTCTAAAAGACTGCTTGGTTTTGGGTGTGAGTTTTTAACTTATGGGGTTAATGAAAACTTTGAGAAACTTTAGGGGTTCTTTTAAGGTAATGGTTTTTTTGGTTGGATGGTATAGGAGGGTGGAATATGATATGGACCTACTAGTTAAGGGTTTGGTTTTGGATAAACAAAACTTAGTGGGGTGATCTGTAATTTTTATTTTCTTAGGTAGTGGTCTTTTTTGTTGGTGGTCTTTTTGTATAAAAAAAAAACAAAGTTGAAGAAGTAAAAGATATATATTTCTTATTATTGATGGGTCCATTTTTGTATTGGGAACATAAATATGCTTCGTTTTTGTCCCATTATTGATGAAAAAAAATCTACCAAGAAGCTGCAAATTTTTTTGACTTACTAAATGACAAATAACATCATAAAGAAATGTGTTATTGTCACATGTATATACAAGGAATGTTTGATACTCGTACTATTAACAACTTACCATGTGTTTTTCATGCCATCAACATTCACAATATCCATACTTGTGTTCTTAATATCCGATAAATGATTAATTAGTGATTGTTGTTCTTCCTCCCCCTCGATCGATCTTACACATTGATTTCAAAATTAAAAAAAATTCATCCAGTCTTGATTGATAGATCGTTTCGTTCCCTTAAAAGAATACACAAGATTATCAAATAGCTTTCACATTTTTATATATTTTTAAAAGTCTCCTTGAGAAACAAGGAACCCTTAATCTCAAACCGAGAGTCTTTGAGAGCAATTCAGAACCTTTACAAAAGCTACTGAAATTAAAAATATAGAGCATAGAGCATATAGCAACCAACTAATTAAGGGTTTCGTCTGTGGAATCACTAAGTGTTGACGCCAAAACCAAGGAGATTGACGAAGAGATTGATGACGTCAAGATACAGAGCAATCGCAGCACGAACATACTCGTTGTAGTTGAGTTTCTTGATGAGCTGGTTCGTGTCGTAGACGATGTATCCGCAGAACAAGATTGCAGCTATACCGCTCAATATCATCGACGATAGCTTCCCCAGTGGATAAAATATCTACAAGAAAAATTGTTTTCATTTCATCATCTCTCAAATAACTAAACATGAAAATCTGAAACTGTTTTGAGAGTTGGTTAAGTACTAAAACCTGAACCAGAGAGAAGACAATGACGATGATTAGAGCACCAAAGAGGAATGGTGCAAGGAAGGAGAAATCATGTCCTCTCTTTACCGCCCAGAAAGTGTAGATTGTTAGACCTATCACCATTGTAGCTGTGAGAATTGCAGCTTCAAGTACAATCTTCCCTGTTTTCAAGAAGAATGAAACAAACCAATCAGATTGTTTCTTGGCATAAAGCTTGAGTCTTTTGCCCTGTTTCGTCTCTTGTCATGATTCACCAGTTAAAAACAAAGAAGAAAGATTCTAAAAATGTAAACTTTTATGATGTAAATTAGAAATCTTTGCATGATCTTACAAACAGAGAACAACCAAAGGCAAAATGCTAAAACGAATGGATCTGAGACAAATCTGTAACCATACCTTTTGAGAAGGAGCAGCAAAGTCCTACGGCGAAAGAGATGGAGAGAGTGAAGAGTGTTAAGATGATGAGGTTGATGGGATGCTTCTTCGCAAACGCAATCAGTGGCCACAGCACTACAAACACATAAAAACGCAAACTTTATCAGTCTAGATCAGTGGAAACTGTGAATAGTCGAACAGATCAAAGTAAGTTTGAATAAATGTGTGAAAGAAGAAACGCAACTGAGGAAAGGAAGAAGGAGAGACACGTAGAAGACGACGAGGCCGTGATTCGTCGTAGTGATGAAATCAGGAATCTCGCGGACGAAGAACACGACGGAGGAGACTCCGACGGTGAGCATCAGCTGAAGAGAGAGGATGACGTAGACTTTCCTGATGAAAGCCCAACGAAACTCGGAGTTCTCGGTCATCTTCGGATACAGCTCGTTGCCAGTGGCGATCACTCCACCGCTCTCAATGTCTGATTTCGCCATCGTTTTTGTCGAATCACACAAAATTACAAAGCACAGAAGAAAGAAGAAGAGAAAGAGAGGTTTTTAAGGTGTTTTTTTGCCTCTCAGAACTCACAAGGAAATTACCAGGAAAGTGATGAAGTTACTGTTCCGTCACTGTAATAACACGAACAGCCTAATTATATCTAAACACGTGGCATTTGTTCAACGGTTGTTTTCGTGGGTATTGACTGTGTGACTAACACTCCAGGAAAGTAAAGGTGTATGATCCAGTCACTGTTACGCGGCTGTAATTCTCCACACGAACCATTTATATTCCGACACGTGGCAGAGCTAGACTATTATTGCTTTCTGTAATTAGCGTACGGACGAAAGAGTTTGTTTTACTATGGAAACCTCTCTCTACCTACCTGGATATAATTGTAATGCACATTATTTTAGTATTCTAGCAGATTAATACTTACGATGGATAAATGGATTATTAGATAGCAACTGTAGTTGGTTTGTTACTTAATTTGATTGTTGTAACAACTACAAATTGCTCAAAATATTTACCATAACTAGTCTATGACAGTCTAGTCAGTTGAAAACTTGTACGAGAGTTAATCATAAGAGTTTTAGAAATCTCACTTTCTAGCCTATAATATATACTACATAAAAAAAAGAAAGACATGCATGCATTCACACGATTTGTCTTACTTGATAATAATTTTGGGTAGAGTTTGTCCTTTAATTATGTAGTAACGTTAGCATCATTTAGCATAAATAAAGCAATATAATCATATGGTGTTTGCTTATTAATTTTTCATATGGTAGCATAAAAATAGAAAATAAGTATATATGTGGGTGATCAAAAGGCTAGTGTCTAAGATGTGTAATAAGAATTTAGATGATTTTAGAGACTCGTTTGGATAATAAGGAATAGTATATAATTACATAATTATCTGATACTAACCCATTCAGTTACATTTGTTCGTCTGTTTTGGGGTGCAATTGTTTGTTTCCGTTTTTGTAACTACTACAAATTACATTTAGCATAAACATGACTATCATTGGTAAAATAACATCTCAGACAGATAACAATAAGTAGAACAGAGAACAACCCATTCGAGATTTATTGGAATGTATGGGCTACTCACTCCTAGGTACAAATGACTAAAGCCCATTGGACTTTTATTCAAAATGCAAGTGATGAATTTATTGAAGTTTCGTTGCATGAAGAAATTTAATAAAATAATAAAAGTGGGGTAGATAAGAATTAATTCAAGTTTCCAAGTGTAGGACGGTGTCTATGAACCTACTCAAGGACTGTTCTCTGATGTTTATCTAAAACTATATGAAAAAGTATCATTTGATGCGATAAATTTGACAATGCACTTCTCATTTTCTGTTCTTTTTTCTTTTCCTTTTTCATAACTGACCACATTTGTTAATTCTTTGTTTGTTAGTACTAAGCAGCATTATTAATTTTTACTTATGATTCCCAAAACATATTAATAACACTCATCACTCATGACATCCACTTGTGTATATGTGTATACGCATGCTTCTCGTTCTGTTCCTTTTATAGCTTTGATATCCTTCCTCATCTTAGCTTTTAATTGTAGTTTAGCTGCTTGATATCGGCTTGTTTGACCGTTAAATAAGAATGTAAAAATGGGAAGGTTTGTATACAGTAGAACCTCTATAAAACAATACTCGATAAAACAATAAACACTATAAGATAATATTTTTCTCCGGTCCCAACTCGGGCCAGTGTAAAAAATAGCATAATGCGATAAGATGATAAGACAATAATATTTTTGAAACTCTATGTAAAAATATAGTCCCAACAATAAGCTAAGACAATAATTATAAAACTAATGCATATATATCTAAGACAATTTAGTAAAATATGACTCCAATGTAGTTTGTATTTTCTGAAAATTGGATGTATTCTCAACATGCAGCCAAAAGTTGTGAAGAGTTCTCGAAGCCACAATTGCATCCTTACGTGTAACTACTTGCACATGTCCTTCCTCATCATCTTCAACTTCATCTTCACATTAAGAACAGATAGACATAATTTCTTATAGACTTTGAACTTCTGAGCATGAAATATGTAAATAACAAAGTATAAGGAAAATTTGAATAAAAAATCTGAAAAAATATATTTCTATAAAGTTTCTTGTTTTGATAGAATATTTCTATAAAATAATAATTATTGTTTTATCGATAAAATAATAACTCTATAAGATAATAAAATTTCAAAGTCCCAACATTATTGTTTTATAGAGGTTTTACTGTATTTCTTTTTTTGGTCTTTTGAAAAATACTCATTTTTCGTTTCTATATTTTTTAGTTCAAAGTTATGGTTTAAAGTTTTTTTACCACAAATTTTGATTTTGATGGTGCAAAAGTTTCAAACCGAATTCTAATAGTTTGTGTAGGTTTTGATTGTGTCGTTTTGTATAATTTAGTTTGTGGTCTAATTTCATAATAATACTTAAACTCTAGATTTATCAACATCAGATCAGATCAGATTTAAATACTAAAGATGGATGGATTTTAGTGGAACCAAAAAGTATTTTTGGTATGCCTTAACTAAATCATTTTTAGTATGAACAATATACTGAATTTTCCTCGGCGAATGGACAAAGAAAGTTATTCTCAAAAGAGAGAGAGAGTGAAAATAATTTACGAGAAAAGTGGAAGCTATCTCTGTACAGTCCAACACCAACCCAACCAAACCCATCACATCAGTCTCATCTCTGTAAACCTCTTTTGATTATTATTGTTTTCTTTTCTACCCTTTGACGTAGTTACAATTTCTTCTTTTTATAAACATATATTTCTGAATTTTTAGATACTAGGCGAAATTACCAGAAAGAATCAGTTATTTTAACCGTGTGCAAAAAAAAAAAAAAAAATCAGTTATTTTAACCCTAAACAAAACTTTAAGCTAAGGTTTTTTATTAGTTTGCATATGTATATAGAGACAAGGCGGTCCTCTATTCTTACTAACTACTCCCTCTCTTTTCATAATAAGTACTCATTTTGACAAAATAAATTTAGACTATTTATTGATGTATTTAGATATATTTTGAGTCTTAATATATTCATATATATCTAGATATTTTAGGTAAATCAAGAGTCAAAAAGACATTTATTATGAAACAGAAGAAGTATTATATTTCTTTGTTAAATGACCTAATTATATGTAATCTGTTGTTACTGGTACATTGTGTTGTTAATTACCGAACTAAGAATGAATTGTGTTGAGGTTAACGAGGCTGATGTCATTTATATGTGTTCATAACATCTAATTGCGGTCGAGCTGGTTTTAGACAATCAAGGTGTTTATCATATAAAAAATGAATTAATAAATAATAATTTGGTTCAGAGGTTTAAAACTCAAAGTACATGATTTTTTTTTTTTTTTTTTTTTTTTTGTGCAAAACTCAAAGTACATGATATCATGCGAAAAAAAGAAAAATATATATCTTTATTCTCTCTTTAGATTCATTGTATGATTGTTTAAGCATATATATATGGACATGACTGGAAACTTATATCGTTGTTGAATGTTGTTGTATCAATATGTGTTGGAACAGAAAGTGGAGTTTTCGCATATAAAGCTGAAGATGTACCAAATCTTCTTCCTCGTGCCATAACTCACTCTCCAAGTGTCTTTGTTTCTATGCCTTCATGGCTTATATATATATATATATATATATATATATATATATATGTGTCCAGAATTTTTGTGAGCTTTTTGGATTTTAATATATACTCTCTTCGTTTTATAATAAGTGTCGTTTTGACTCTTGACATACCCAATGTATCTAAATATATATAGATGTATTAAAACTCAAAACACATCCCAATACATCAATAAATAGTCTAAATTCATTTGGTCAAAACGACACTTATTATGAAATGGAAATGAATGGCATCTTCTTCTGGAAATCTTAGCTATTCTTAGCAGTATATGCGAATCAGAGGAGAAAATGTTCTCTGGTTGGGTCTAGAAGATTTTCCCCTAACGCCAACCATCACTAAAATCATAGTATGGTAATATGAAGTCTAGTCTCTTAACTTTCAGAGTGCATCATTTAAATGCTAGACCACCATTGATAACTATATACTAATATAAACCAGTCTAATTATTACCACTCCGAAACCAATATTTTTTGTTTAATTTGTTATCAACTGTCTGAACACCATGATTTTCAGTTAGTTTAGGTAATTTAAAATAAAAGAGTAGTATCATTTATCTGAAACAGTATACACGAGTAGTATCATTTTATATGAAACTGTCTACAAGATAACATAGACACATAGCTTTTACCTCTCTCATTTTATCTTCTTTGTCTCATTTTTGTAACTTCAAGTTTTCAACATTGGTATTTTGTTTCTATTTATTCTTGGTAAAAAACAAAATTTTCCTTCAGTATTTGTTTATTTATTTCTGGTTACTTATTACTCTAAATGCACAAGAACATATACAGTACACAAAAATCCTGCGAAATTTTGCAATAGCCCTCTCCTGTTGTTATTTCGCATGTGGGTGGAATATCAGTTATATACTTATATCACATTCACATAGCTAACATAATATACAATTAAGAAATATATATGCATCTCTCGATATAATTTATATTTTTAGAGAACACAAATAAAGTAGTATATAAAATCTTACAAAGGTGTTCGTTAATTATAACACCATGGTCCATGCAGTTGTTATCATTAGTCAACGTTTGGACAGAGTACAAATGACCTACACGACTAATAGGACAGTGGTTAGTAAATGACTAAATGGTATCGTGATTCCATATTTTCAAAGCGATCATAATCAAACTCATGTAATTTTGTAAGTAACTAATATGGATTTTTTTTTTTTTGACAACTATGGATTCTATTCATTGAGTCTAAACTAAAGGGATATCAGGACTTCCAACAAAGATTTCTCTCGAAACTAAATTATTTTGTACTATTGAGCCATTGTAATAATATCCACCTGCATTCACACAAATTCACATTACTTACTAGTAGTAAATTTCCTACATGTTTGGTACTTTGGTCTCTTGTCTCCATTTTTAAAGATCAACACGACAAAATCACCGCTGTTCTCTTGAATTAAATGTAAAAAGAGAAAGACAATTCATAAAAACGCAAAAGAAAATACATCATCGTGTAGGCCGTCTGTAGGAGAATCTCTGTAAAAAACATCTTTCTTTTTATTTTTGTTCTTTTTCAACAGATATCTTTCTGTAAGTATTTTTTGTTAAAAAAAGCAGAAATCTTTCAGCAATGTTCAATTAACTCATAAGATTGTTTTCTTAAAGCACATTATTTTAGGAATCTTTAACCAAACAGTAGGAGTATATAGGAAATAAAACTATCTTCACTAATTAATTACCAAGAAAGGGAAAAACACATCTTTAAACTCATTATTATTCTTTGAACAATCTTGGTTCCGATATTATAATTCGTTTATGGGTAAACAGAAAATGATATGGAAAGGAAACCAGTAGCTTACTAGCTTAGCATTTTTCAACTGAAATTATCCGAGCTAAAACAAGATTTCGAAAAAGTCCCAAAATGTGAAACTTTCGACCCAACTATTCATGGAGTATCTTTATTGTTGGTAGCAGGCATGGAACTGCCATACATCGAAAGAGTGAGCGAAAGGTTAATTAATGTTTACATACAGAAAACAAAAAATTAAAGCTCGAAATTATGTGATTTGTTATAGTTATCTGTGTAGTTGTAATACTATACAACAACAAAAAATGTTGGCTCTTTATACATTGTCTTGGACAACCAAAAACTTTCGTTTCATGGTCTTACTACACATAAAACCAGCTTTTAATAATTATCATAACATATCTACTCCCTCCGTTTTTTAAGATGGATTTTCTAGACATTAGTTGTTGTTTCACAAAGATAAATTTTCTACTTTTTTTATACACTTTTTCAGTTTTCAAGAAACAATGATTGTATTTGTTAGATTTTTATTGGTTGAAAATTATAAAAAGTTGTTTTATTGCAGAAATCAATACACTAATGATTGAAAATTTGCTTTTCCTTAATATGTGTGAAAATCCTATAAAATTTATAAAAAAAAAAACGGAGGGAATATAAGATATATTCATCATTTTCCAATTATTGTTTGTAACTATTACGCTTTTTAGGCATCTACAACGCATAAATTATTGTTTATTATTCATAGGCCAGTTGTTCTTTATTTCTCAGCCTTCTCTGTAGCCGAAACTGTAAATTCAAGTTTAGATATGAGAACAGCCGATACTTTTCCAAGTACTAAAATCAAAAGAAAAAATTGTAGTAAGAAAATAAAAAAGAGAAGTTAATGCAGATATTGCAAACTTATATACATATAAGTAAGGAACAGAGTATGCAGTACGACACGAGTACATATGCGGCTTTGTAGTGAAATTGGGAAAAACTCCAAACCATAAATGCTTTTACTACTTTTTACATTCGTTTCAATATTTTTATTTTCTTCATTTTTTTTTCAAAAACAAAAATGGTCCTGCTGTATACTTACACGTGCAAGTACGATATAAACATTAATCATGATTACTGATGATACCTTACAAAATTATCATCAAAGAGCAATAATGAAATCTACATAGCTGTCAAGGGACAAAACCTATGGGTCCAAACAAACATGCATAACCAGACAAATACAAGTCATACTATTGTATTCTTAAGAGGGATTTGTTCGAAAATAAGGGGCAAATCACTTATTTTACTGATTACGTAACACAGTAGAATAACAACACAGTAGAACAACTACAAAATTTAATGGCGATCCTTTTGTTTTCTCAAATCAATCACCATATGTAGTTTTAAAGTGACAAAATGAAAGTTTTAAGTATGATTTTGTTTATATCGTGTTTCAATATTTGATGATGAATGGTAATGTTTTTGAAAATATATTTCTGTTATTTTCTACCATTCCTTTTTATATAGAATCATATTCCATGTTTTAAAGAAAGTAATATCACTCGTACTAAAAATATAATTAAAATAACACGCCATTAAAACACCAATTTTAACGTCTTATAAAAAAACTTAGTTAAATGTTTCTACAATTTTGTTTTCATTTCAACATTCAGCTATTTTACTCTAAACAACTGTATAAACCCCTTTGTCATTATATGTTCATTGTTTGTGTGTATATCATTCTTTTGTTTGTTATAACAAAAAGAGAAGATAACAACACTACCTAAATTAGACGCCTGTAAGATTAATTGCTTCTACAATGGAGCAAGTGTCATTAGGGTAAAAATGAGTTCTCTCTCTCTCTCTCGGTAATGTCACCACCCATAATTCGCATCTTTCCAAAGTCCTCAATTTCTTCGTATGACCAATTTTTTAATATTAACATTACGGATTTCATCATTACAATAAACTAATCAGCGAAAAGACGAGACAAGTGAGAAAACCAAAACAAAAAGAATTAAAAACACTTTTTTGAAAAATTGTTTAACTGATAATTAGTCTAGGGCATGAAGAGCTTGTTACCACACTTGCAACGCCAAGCTTCAGGGTAATACTCCAATGGCATACTCATTCCTGGTTGAATCGGTACATGAACCGGTTTACACGGCTGACATTTCCCACACTTCGATCTACACGTCGGTGGTGACGAACCCGGTCCAAACCTTTTATCCGCCATAAACCGACCTGGTATATCCGACCTGGTTCTCTGACCAAGCCATCCACCTGGTTTAATCACCGAGTTAAAAACATCAAGAACAAGTAAGCATTGGACTAAAGAAAGATGGCTTTTCTAATCAGTAAAACAAAAAATTACTGAGCTGAGTGTGAAATTATCTCAGAGAATCAAGAAACTTGGGATTCGAGTTGCAATTAGCAAAAAGAAAATTCACGCTATTACAAGAAAGAGTGTGAGTTTATTCGGTTCTTACCGGTGGAGACTACGGAGGCAGCGGAGACCAGGTGGAGGAAAGCAAATGCGGCGAGTGAAGCTAGGAGAAAGCGATGACGGCGGCGACGGAGGGCGCCCATTAGCAAGATCGGCGAGAATGCGCACGTTAGCAGAGACAAGTGTCTGGTTCTTTGTCTTCTTTTTTTTCGCCTGAGAGAGATTTTTTTTTGGGTTTATGTTTGTGTGTTTGGGGTTTGGAGTCATTCATTTGGTCTTAAGTCAAAAGAAACTTAAGATAGAGAGAGGTGTGTGAACAGTAGTATAAGAGAATAGACACATGAAGCTTTTAGAATCCAAATATTAAATTCAAATTGCTATGTTTTTTGTTTTCTTTTCTTTCTGTTTGACTGTATTATACTCTAATTCTAAGTGAGAGTGTTCACTTAATATTAATCCATTTAAAAAACTGAATTTCAAGATACCTTGAAATTATATAATGTACTTTAAAAAAAAATTAGATATATTATATGGATCCAAAAGATATTGAAAGATATATTCTAACAAAATGTTCATAGAGATGTTTTGCATTCTCTATGCATACTTTTATGATATTTCTTTATCAATTCCTGTTAGTTAAATTTATAAAACATAAAGATTTAATTAGATAAACAAAAAAGAGCTTATATATGTGCTAGATAGACAAATGTTTGGCTAAGTATTGTTAAAAGAGATGACAAAACCATATATAAGAGATGATTTATTTTCACTAGTTATTTAAAGAATAGTGTGAAAACATGTTACTAGGAAAAAAAATATTTAGTGCATAATATTTTCTACAATGAAAGTAAATTGTTGGAAAACAATAGATATATTAAGTGGTGAGTTCTTTTACTATATATAATTATGTATGTGAAATATATAACATACTATAACGTTGTTAAATGAAAGAAAGTCCATGTGACATTTATAATTTACCAAAACGTAAAATTTTACTGTAACCTATAAGATAATTCACGGAAGATGCTCCTCCGATTTCCAAAAATTCTAATAGCTCATGGAGACCAATCATGAGCCACAATCAAGACTATCAACAAATCAAATAACTCAACTATGTTGCCTGTCCTTACATCTAACTATGGTCGGTCACTAGCGGTTCCATGAATAGTGGAATTTTAGACAGCGGATCTTAAATTGCTATTATGAAAAAGTAAATAGTTGAACAACTGATGAGTGTGGGGCTCAGGCTGTAGGCAAAATAAATAGGCTAGTATGCTTTATGGAAATTTCTGGTCAGGTTTTGTTTGCATCTTTCTTTTCATTTTGGCAACTTTTTGATGTTTCTTTTTCTTTTTAGGTTTCAGTCCTACGGTACAATTATTAATTCAATTTTTTTTTTTTACTACGTATCGTTGATATGTTTCTCATATATTTGGTTTCGGTGTTATGTTTCTCCTATACGTTTTGTCATATCGTGTAGGGGTCTCGTCTAGCATGATCGTATCCGGAGATACGTAGACATGCACAACAAATCTGGAGTTGCATATATTGTTTATGATAACTTTTGCATTATATTCAAATATGTGTTTAGAATTCAGTTAGTTTATAATAGAGGATCGTGGATTCGAGTGGAACGACTCAAACCTTAGTTTTCTTGGTGTGTGTGTGTGTGTGAAGAGCTAAACCTTTGCACATCGTGATTAATTCGATCACTAGTATGATATGATTTAATATATAATTTCATATATAAAATGACATATAAATAACATGAACCAACTAACTAATTGCAAATCAGTATAAGTTAAAGATCTATGAATCTTCACATAATCTCCGAGTTTACTATACCAAAAAGATATAACCTCTTTTGATTATAGTTCGTAAAGAATGTCACTCCTATTGGAGTCTTAAGTAATAATCTAAGAGATAAGAGCGAGTCCACTTAATGTTTTTTCAGTTGGAAGTTTTTATGAATCCTCGCATGGTGTGGAGCATAAGTAGACCCAAAAAAAGACGATAAAAATGGTGGCTTTAAGCTAAAATGTATAAAAAACAACAAAAAGAACCATCATCTCGTAAAAAGAAACAGTCACACGGAGAGAGAAAGAAAATAGCGACGGCGATTTCCAGATCTAGAACATGGGCATGAGAATCACGAAGGATTTGGTGTTTAGTTCGGGGTTACTATGGATTTATGGTTGTGACGGGGGAGATCTGAGGAGATCTCTATTTTGGAAGGTCCTTTGACGGAAATCAAAGTGACGATTAATGGGATTGATTCATGGCTTTCCCGATTGGATTCGCAGAGGATATGGCGGTATCATGGTAATGGGATCGAACTGGGATAGGAATATGGGGACAACGGAAGTATTTGGGTGGATTTGGATTGGGATTTCGGGGATTTGGTGTACCAGAGGCTTCAATGGGATTTAGTGGATCCTTGTTCACAAGAAAGGAAAGGCTCTTCTCAAGAATATGGGTTCATATCTTTTAGGAGATTTGCGTTGAGAGTGGAGAGAGGATATTTGCAGCGGAGAAACGAGATCCCAGATTTGGTGAGATTGATTTTGGAAACCTCAGGGAGTTTATGGAATATAGAACCAAGGGAAGTGATGGGAATGGATACGAATCCCGGTGAACCGGTATGTCTAAAGGTAGTCAACACCGACTATGGAATCTCCAAGAATCACGGTATTGATTTATTCGACAATCTTATAGTTAGGAAAATACAGAGGAGATTTTCTGTGGTAAAGGCTATATATTGGAGGGATCGATGGGTGTTCTCAAGGCATTCTCATCTCATCATCTCTCTCGTGGTCATTTTCATTTCTCTCCTGTTCTCTACGCTCGAAGTAGTGATGTCTCAAGCGAGTTTGATCAAGTCCGGTGGCTCCAACAAGGGGAAGGAAACCTTGCGGCCAAGATTGCGAGTTACTCTCCCTGACTTTGATGACTCGGAACTGATCAAGGGCTATTCCAAAACCTTGATTGGTAGGTGTGTGAATCCAAAGAAGCAGGATGTGCAATCCCTGATTTTCATTTTCCCTCGCATATGGAAAATAGAGAACCGGGTGACTGGTGCGGATCTCGGACTGGGCAGGTTTCAGTTTGACTTTGACGAGGAAGAGGACATCATCGAGGTGTTGAAGATGGAGCCGTAACACTTTGATTCATGGATGGTTTCGTTAGTCCGTTGGCAGCCAGACTTCGATCCTTTTTACCCATCTGAGATCACGTTTTGGGTTCGTGTTCTGAACCTTCCACTGCAAGTCTGGGCAGAGTTAACCTTACGTAGCATCGGCGAAGCAATGGGGGAAGTGAAGGACGTTGATGTTGTTGGAGGTCGGTTTCAAGTGAGTGTCAATGGTTTCACACCTCTTCACTTCGAAACTACGTTGGAGGCTAAGGGAGGACGTGAGATTCCGGTCGTCTTAAGGTATGAACGTTTGTTCGGGTTCTGTAAGGAATGCTTGAGTTTATGTCATGATGTAGAGATGTGCCCTCTTCTACACGCACATCGAGCCGAGAGGGACCGAATCAGGCGAAGGGAAGAAAAAACGGAGGCAAGGGCGCAGAGTTACAGAGAGGCGGTCCAAGCTTCATATGGGAATGGAGGGAATGGAGGAAGAGCGCAATATGAGGAGAGAAGAGGTGATTATAAGGGAAAAGCTAAGGTGGTAGAAAGCAGCGTGGAGCAAGGACGGGGACAAATGATTGCGGAATGAGTGTTTTGTGTGGATTGAGAATAAATTTGCCCAGGTTGAGCCGGGGAGAGCTTCGGAATAGTTTTTGGAATTTATGTTTTACGTTTTGCTGTAGCTCAAGTGAGCATGTTCTTTTTGTTTCTGGTGTTTGCATTACGGCGGAGCCGTGTTTTGTTTCAGTGTTTTTCTCTCTTTATGGTAATAAAACATGTGAGCGATTTCACTTTTATCTCACTTCTAAATCGGGCAGTATCAATGGTTGGATGCAAGTGCTTTTGGATGGTCTTTCTGATAGCATTAGAATGTATTTTCGTCTCTGGTTTCAGGCCAACACCCGTATGGGTTTGGCTGCTCCAACATGCAGCAGGTGGACAGGTAATAGGATTCATGTGATGATATTGGACTTGTCTTTGGTTGGGAAGTTTATGTGGGAACATATAGGGTGGTTGTTGGGGGAGGTTAACGTTAGTGACATGTCCTCTGGGAATTCCTGGTTTTGGTTATTACGCTTGCTACTTAAGCTTTATATTAACTTGAGAATGTTTCGTGATATTTATCGTGGGGTCCAAACTGAAATGTGGGATGCATATAATTGTTTCCTGCCACTGGATCAAACAGAACTTGTGATTTGGATGTGGTGTCATAACAAATGGTCTCAGCGTTGTTTCAATGGATCTAGCATCTCTCGTTGGGGGAATTGGTGTTTAGGGTGGGACAGGTGTAAGATGGAGTTCAATAGTGGACCTCACAGTGTGCAAATGAGATCGCGATGGGCTTGGCATATGAATTTGCCTATGTGGAAACGGGTCTATATATTTGGTTTTGAGTCTCGACAGGTTTTTCGAGGAAACAGGTCTTTGGATAGTTATTGGGGTACCAACAGAGGGAAGTGGTGGCTTCTTGATACACCGGAAGGGCTGGGGTTTCCGACGGAAGGTTGGTTAGTGTCACATGCCACTGGTTTTAGGAGGAAACTGTACAAAAATTTCAGGTTTGGTTTGGATTTGGCGTGTTTGGACCGACATTTGGACTCACCGGTGAATTATGGAAAACAGAGGTGCGAGATATAATTCCTTTATTGTCTTCTCCTTTTTACAGGAGATATAGCGGTGTGGAAAGGTTGTGGTTGCGGTGGTTGTTTAGCCTTGCTATTAAAAGAAATAGCACGAGAGATGGTGGTTGTGATTTTCTTTGGGTTGAGGGTGGTACGGCGAACCGCAAAAGATTAAGGGGGATCGTTGCAAAATTTTGGTCAATGATGTGGGAAAGAAAGATCGACAATGTATTGATCTTGATAGATCATTTTGGCTGGAGGATAGACGGAGATACTAGCTCTGAGAAATACAGGCTGGGACCGGATAAGGCAGGGATCCCTAATTTTTGGACGTTTTGTTATATGTTATGGCGGGAATGGTGCGACCTTTTTTGTGGGAGCATACAGGGTGGTTTTGGATTGATATGGAAAATAAGAATGGGACATGGTGTGGTAGGAATGGCAAGGGGGACCGATTTACCACGGAACAACAAACATCGATTTAATGAGGGTACTCAGCTGGAATTGTCAAGGTTTAGGGAATAAATATACAATTAGCCATCTTCGAGAAATTTGAGGGAAATTTAAACCGGAGTTTCTTTTTCTTTCTGAAACGAAACAGGAATTGGATTTTGTGCAACAATTTCAGTTTCATTTTGGTTATGATAGATTATTTACAGTGGAACCGATTGGTGCGAGTGGGGTCTGGCTTTGTTTTATAATAACACCTCTGATGTTAGTGTTGTTTATTCTAACAAGAGGATTATCGATATTGAGGCTCGTGAAGGTAGTGATATTTGTATGTCCTTCGTTTATGGGGACCCAGTAGTAAAGCTACATGACCTGGTCTGGGAACGGATTACAAGGATTGGAACAACAAGGACAGAACCATGGTTTCTTATAGGGGACTTCAATGAGATTACCGGAAATCATGAGAAACAAGGAGGAGCCTTACGACAAGCATCATCCTTTATCCCTTTCAACTTGATGATAAGTGACTGTGGTTTTGTTGAATTTCCAAGTCGTGGGAACACACTGTCATGGAGGGGAAGAAGGCGGGTGAAAATAGTGCGGTGTCATCTAGATAGAGCACTAGCAACGGAAGAGTGGCATGACCGGTTTCCGGTCTCCTATGTTGAGTACCTCCCAATGATTGGTTCTGATCACAGGCCAATTGTGGCCACCCTGGATTCAAAGATAACTAAGAGACGGAAACAATTTCGATTTGATAAAAGATGGATTGGACTGGAGGGTTTGCTCGAGTCTATTGATCGGGGATGGAATCACACTCGAGCCGGTGGATTGCCTGATGTGGTGGACAGAATTGGTAATTGCCGCCATGAAATCTCGATTTGGAGGAAGGAAAATCAACCATATGGAAGGCAAAAGATAGCCGAGTTACAAAGGGCACTGGAGGAGGTCCAAGATGATGATAACAGTACCCAAGAAGAACTTATGGACATAACTAATAAGTTAAAGGAAGCATATAGGGATGAGGAGGAATACTGGAAACAAAAAAGTAGGAACATGTGGCTGAAGGATGGGGATTTAAATACTAAATTTTTCCATGCTTCAACGAAGCAGCGGAGGGCAGTTAACAGGATTGTTGGCCTTCATAATGATGCTAATATTTGGGTAGCTGAGAAAAAGAGGTGAAAAAGGTCGCAGTAAATTATTTTGACAAATTGTTTACGTCAATTCTACCAGTGGATTTCACGGGTGTCCTTGAGAACCTGCCACAACAAATTACAACACAAGAGAATGCAGTTTTGACTCGTCCGGCGACAGAAACGGAGGTGCGCGAAGCGTTATTCATGATGCATTCCGAGAAAGCGCCGGGTCCAGATGGCATGACTGCCCTATTTTTTCAACGTTCCTGGCATATCATCAAGAGGGATATTGTTGAGTTGGGTAATAAGTTTCTCACAGCGGGTGTTTTTGATGAAAGGTTGAATATGACCCACATTTGCCTTATCCCAAAGACGGGAAGGCCGATCATGATGACGGAGCTCCGGCCAATCAGCCTGTGCAATGTGGGATACAAGATTATCTCTAAAGTGCTGTGTCATCGGCTTAAAGTGCTTCTACCGAGATTAATCTCGGAAACACAGTCCGCTTTTGTACCGGGTAGGCTAATCTCGGATAATATTCTGATAGCTCAGGAGATGTTCCACGGGCTTCGGACAAATAAGTCGTGCAAGGGGAAATACATGGCAGTTAAAACAGATATGAGTAAGGCGTATGAGCGGGTCGAATGGAACTTTATTGAGGCTTTAATGAGGAAAATGGGGTTCGCGGAACAGTGGATCTCATTGGTGATGAGGTGCATCACATCTGTCAAATACAGGGTGTTACTTAATGGACAACCTAGAGGTGTAATCATTCTCCACAGAGGTCTAAGACAAGGGGATCCGCTATCTCCCTATCTTTTTATTCTATGTACGGAGGTTCTGATAACAAATCTAAAAAAGGCAGAGGAGTTGAAAAGGATTACAGGACTTAAAGTGGCAATGGCAAGTCCACCAGTATCTCATCTTCTCTTTGCGGATGATAGTCTTTTCTTCTGTAAAGCAAATGGTGATGAGAGTAGGGTCTTACTTCAGATTCTAAAGGATTACGGAAAAACATCGGGCCAACAAATAAATTTTGGAAAATCATCGATCCAATTTGGGCATACGGTGGAGGAAGGGGTGCGGGCTGAGATACATCAGACCCTGGGAATCACCAACGTTGGTGGGGTCGGAAACTATCTCGGGATACCAGAAAGTATCGGGGGTGCCAAGACTAAGATTTTCAGTTTTTTAATAGATCGCCAACAACAGCGAATCAATGGATGGAACTCTAAGTGGTTGTCAAAAGGGGGGAAAGAGGTTCTTATGAAGTCAGTGGTTTCGGCCATGCCTACACATGTCATGGCGTGCTTTCGTCTTCCCAAAGGAGTTACGAACAAATTGTCGAGCGCGGTCTCAAATTTCTGGTGGAGTAATAATGGGCAGACACGTGGAATGCATTGGCTGGCCTGGAAAAAGCTCTGTAGACACAAAAATGATGGGGGATTGGGATTCCGTGTTATTGAGGACTTTAACACGGCTTTACTTGCAAAACAACTCTGGAGACTAATTGACTATCCAGACTCTTTGTTTGCACGAGTGTTCAAAGGACGTTACTACCAGAATGCAACGCCTTTGGACCCCTTTAGATCTTACTCAGCTTCTTATGGATGGCAGAGTATAGTATCGGCTCGACCTCTGGTTCAAAAAGGACTTATTAAAAGGGTTGGTTCATGAACATCTATCTCGGTTTGGGATGATCCCTGGATTCCAGCTTCTCGCCCGAGGCCAGCTACAGGAACTGGGAGGAATTTTTACCCTCATCTTCGGGTGAGTGAATTGATAAACCCCAGTATAGCAACGTGGAACCTTCCACTATTAAACCAATTGTTTGACAGCACAGATGTCGCGCGGATCATCGGGATTCCCACTTCAAATGTCACCCGACCAGACTCTCTGGGATGGTTTTTCATGAAGTCGGACCGATATACGGTTAAATCAGGGTACATGGTCACCCAACAATCCTTGGAGGAAGCTACTCCCACTTTTTTTGGTCTAGATACACGGGGGTTACAGGAACATGTGTGGAAAATAAAATGTACTCAGAAGCTACAACACTTCTTGTGGCAGGCCTTAACGGGATGCATAGCGGTCGGAGCAAGGTTGCGGAGCCGGGGCATGCAGGTCGACCCACAATGTATGCGCTGTGGTATGGCACCAGAAACTGTAAATCACACATTATTTGAATGTCCGCCGGCACTACAAGTTTGGGCTTTATCTCCGATTCCGACAGCGCCAGGGCATTTTCCAACAGGAGGACTATTTACAAACATGACACAATTATTTTGGCATTTACCAAATGATGAGAGGATGAAGATGTACCCTTGGTTAATTTGATATATTTGGAAATCGCGTAATGACAAGGTCATAAGTAATGTGGACTTGGATCCCAACGAGATTATTATTAAGGCAGAAGCGGAATCCATTGCGTGGGCCAAGGCCCAAGAACGCTTACAGCAGGCCCATACAGAAACCCATGGTGAAGTATTGTTGTCAGGAGACATATGTCAGGTGGATGGGGCATGGAAGGAAACGGATCGCAGAGCTGGACTTGGCTGGTATTATTTTAACACAGACACTCTGGAAAAACTGATGGGTACGTGTAATCTGAGGCGGGGAATATCAGCACTTCAGACGGAATTTGAAGCTCTCATTTGGGCTATGCAATGTATGTTATGGAAGAATAAGTTAATTATGGTTTTTCAGAAAGACTGTTCCGATGTGGTGAAGATGGTGTCTAAACCAGAGGAGTGACCGGTTTTCTCACTATTACTTGATGAGGTGGACAGATGCAAGAGGAGCTTCAATTCTTTTACCATCATGTACATACCAAGGAAGGAAAACACGAAGGCAGACAAGTTAGCACGGAGTGCTCGAGCTCTACCTACCAATGTGCTTACTCTGTTTCACCAGTTTAGATCCCAGAACTGTTCTAGAAATAGAGACTCTTGACAAAAAAAAAAAAAAAAAGAACTATCATCTCCAAACGGTATGTTAGAAATCTCATATTAGAATTGATAAAAATGCTAATATAAGGACATGAGTTAATTATCTCATCGATTAGTTTTGAATTTTGAAAATTCATGAAACTTCAAGAAACTAAAATTATTGAAGCCAAGATATTGACTAATGACTATGGTTTGTGGAATTAATCGATAAATTTCAAATTACCTTTTGAATAAAACTTTGACTATGTGCATGTATGTCAGTACGTGGAACATGGGTTGTTGACTTGTTTAATTTGTTGATTATGCGAGATTGTTTTATTTTTCTTTTCGGTTCAACATCTTTTCAATTATCCAAATGTTTAATACATTCAAGGTATAACCTCCACATATAAGTTAATCCAACAAGGTACCATATGATATAACTTAGGGACATTATTCGTAAAAGAAAGAGCATCTTCGCTCTATCCGCCATTTCACTGCCTCCTCTCGGGTGAAACACCACCTTCTGAAACTGTAAAATAAAATTACACTTAAGATACAATATATACAAATTTATGTTTATATATATTCACTATCTTATTTTATATATGAAGTTGGATGCACAACAAAAGTGACATCGGAAATTTAACAATTTATTTTATTAATAGTAAGATATTCCAATTTCCAATAGTTTATTTTCAATTTTTCAATAAGAAAAAAAGGAAAATTTTAATGGTCTAATATTCTATTTTTTAGTAGTTTAAATTTCATATTTTATTAGAAACTGAAATTAACAACATAATTATTAAACAAAAAAATGAACAATAAAAAGGAAAATTTATAATGGTTCGATATTTTAATTTTCAGTTTTATAACTTAAAAAAATGTTCCAACTGAAATCTCTTTGATGAACAATCAAAATTTCACAAAATAAAAAGTTAGATACACATGTAATTTTTATAGTTAGATAAAGATAATAGAAATCAAATTAATTCGTTTTTCTTATCATCATTGGAAAAAAAATGTCCATTGTGATTTATAAGTAAATAAATTATTGAATTCTCAATATTATGATATTTAGAGATTTTTTATCAGATTCTCAATAATATTTTACATATTTTAAAAGTAATCATATTTTGTTTAGTATTAGAGTTTGGTAATTTGATAGGATAATTTGTGAAAAACTAAATAACTAATAATGTTAAGAGGTTGTATAAAATTGGGGGAATAAAGGCTGTTGACAAAAAAAAAAAAAAAAAAAAAGAATAAAATTGGGGATGATGATGTTATTAATTAGAGATGTATAGTTGTCAAATTAACAAGAACATTGTTTCACTTATTAATGTGAAAACCGATTAAATGACTAGGTAATCATGCTATGTTAGTTTTCATAATTTGCAAATCATTCAAGTTTCTATAATGATTTGACAATCTAAGATCTCTAATAGGGGTTGAGTCGTTGGTAGGATAATTTGTGAACAACTAATTCTTTTTAAAGAGGTTTTAAAGTCATGAATAAAATTGAGAGATGAGGAAGAGAAATTTTAAGAAATACACCTTTTAATGTGTAAATTTTTCAAAAATACACTTTTTCCTAATTTTAATTTATATGTTTGGGTTCACTAATCCTAGACTAGAGTTTAGATTTTGGGGTTTAAGGTTTAGATTTAAGGGTACAAGGTTAAACTTTAGGGTTTAAGGTTTATATTTTAGGGTTTAGAGTTGGTTTACTTAATGAAAAGGTTGTAGTTTTGAAAATAAACACTATATGGGTGTATTTTTGAAAATTGGCACATAGAAATGTGTAGTTTTGAAATTTCCCATATGAGGAATATTTTAATTAGAGATCTTTTGATGTCAAATAAATAAGAATCTTGATTGACTTACTAATGTGAAACCAAATTAAGCATGAATACCAATTACGGACAAATAAATGACTAGGTACCATGCTATGTTAGTTTTCACATTTTGCAAATCATTCAAGTTTCTATAATGATTTGACAATCTAAAATCTCTAATAGGGGTTTGGTCATTGGTAGGAAATTTTCTTTTTAAAGAGGTTTTAAAGTCATGAATAAAATTGAGAGATGAGGAATGTTTTTAATTAGAGATCTTTTGATGTCAAATTAATAAGAATCTTGATTGACTTACTAATGTAAAAACAAATTAAGCATGAATACCAATTACGGACAAATAAATGACTAGGTACTATGCTATGTTAGTTTTCACATTTTGCAAATCATTCAAGTTTCTATAATGATTTGACAATCTAAAATCTCTAATAGGGGTTTGGTCATTGGTAGGATAATTTGTGAACAACTAATTCTTTTAAAAGAGGTTTTAAAGTCATGAATAAAATTGAGAGAATGAAGAATGTTTTTAACTAGAGATATTTTGATGTCAAATTAATAAGAATCTTGATTGACTTACTAATGTGAAAACAAATTAAGCATGAATACCGATTACGGACAAATAAATGACTAGGTACCATGCTATGTTAGTTTTCATAATTTGCAAATCATTCAAGTTTTTTATTGATTTGACAATCTAAAATCTCTAATAGGGATTTGGGTCATTGGTAGGATAATTTTAAAAGAGGTTTTAAAGTCATAAATAAAATTGAGAGATGAGGAATGTTTTTAATTAGAGATCTTTTGATGTCAAATTAATAAGAATCTTGATTGACTTACTAATGTGAAAACAAATTTAGCATGAATACCGATTACGGACAAATAAATGACTAGGTATCATGCTATGTTAGTTTTCACAATTTGTAAATCATTCAAGTTTTTTATTGATTTGACAATCTAAAATCTCTAATAGGGATTTGGGTCATTGGTAGGATAATTTTAAAAGAGGTTTTAAAGTCATGAATAAAATTGAGAGATGAGGAATGTTTTTAATTAGAGATCTTTTGATGTCAAATTAATAAGAATCTTGATTGACTTACTAATTTGAAAACAAATTTAGCATGAATACCGATTACGGACAAATAAATGACTAGGTATCATGCTATGTTAGTTTTCACAATTTGTAAATCATTCAAGTTTCTCTATTGATTTGATAATCTAAAATCTCTAATAGGATTTGATCATTGGTAAGATAATATGTGAACAACTAATTCTTTTTATGAGGTTTTAGGTTGGGAAATGAGGAATGTTTTTTATTATATTTGATTAATATGTAAATTCTAAAGTTTTTTATTAGGATTTCTTTGACTAATTAATATAGTTTGCGCAGAATTTTAAGTGCATGTTAACCAAGAAAAAAGAATACTAACCTTATAACATTGTAACTGTTGGATCGGAAAGAGTTATAGTAGAAGCATCGGCAAAGACCATCATCCATCACCTCAAATATCAAGAAAGAAGCTTTGTCAATGATTAGTTTTACAATGATTAGCTTTTTTTTTTGTGCAATCACCATACATCAGTTTCTTTGCTTTCACCATCACGCTGCAAAGAGAATTTCATTCATAAATGTAACAGCAAATAAGGGAAAAGCCAAAACCCATTCAAACATGATAGTGTTACCAGTGAGAGCTTGTTGCTGTGTTCATTCACGTTGTTGGATCCAACTGCTCTATCTTGAATTACACACTTCATTTCTGTTTTCCACTTTTGCGTCTACTAATCCAAGAACATGAAGGGTCTCTATGAGGATTGTTGTATACTTGTTATCTCCAACCTTGAAAGCAAAATCCATACAGAGATCAGACTATGTAGAAAATTTATATTCGATTAATAAACTAATAGACTAGTCTGCCTCGAAATTGGTGTCTCTGAGAATATTGGATTACCTTTGAATCATCTTCCCCAACGATTCGTCTCATCTGCGAACACCAATAACAAAAAAAAGCCTCAATTCACACTTATCATCTTTTATAAGCCTATGTAATCAATCATCTACGTGAACAAAAATGAAAACCCAAACCCAAACCTAACAAGCATTTTCCGGGTAAACAATCACGATCCGAAAAAACCGATCAGCACTTTTTCAATCAACTACGCGAAAAGGGAAAACTAAATTTTGCAAAATTGAAGTTGTAAGTCAGAGGATCGAAACCAGAGAATTTTCGGATCACACATCATGAAATCCACCAGAGAATCATCAAACTGATTAACGATATTATCTCCGATCTGTAATTTATCCGTTGAATCACTAATAAATTGGAAATTTTGGAATCTCCGGTTTCCAAATTAAGAGCGTGATCCAAAAAACCCAGACTCGCCACTATTCGAATTTCACTAAGCACAAAGGAAAACTAGGGTTTGCAGAATTGAATATCGTAAGTCAGAAGATCGAAACCTGAGAGATTCGCGCCGGTGAAAAACAGTCTTGAATTTCTGATCGGACACCATAGAATCGTCAGATTCCCATCCACGAAGTATCCCCCAGTCACTAATTTTATCAGTCGCATCGCTAACAAACTCGGAATCAGGAATCGCCGGTGAACAAGTTGGTGGCGGTACTTCGGGGATCCACCGGAACTGTAGCATCGATCTCAACGTCTTTCACCGTGGATATCGAATTCGTTTCTTGTAAGACAAGGCAAAATTAAAATCCGAAGAACAAAAATTGTTTCCCTCTGTTTCGTTATCTCTCTTTGAAGATGAAGAAAATTGAAAAGCTTAGGAAAGTGGAGAGAGAGAGAGGGATCTGATAATCTGATTAGTGTTTACAAAATTTCGAATCTCTAAAAAGACCGTTAAGATTAGTGTACCGTTAGTGATCAAAACACACATTAACGATAATCGGCTTTCGCTCAAAAGATATGGGCCATAAAGATCAGGCCCAAATTTAGCAAGTAAGGGACCGAAAAGATGTAAATGGGCCTATTATAAGACGAGGCCTGTTAACGGAAAGTGAGTGTCCCTACAGAGAAGGAAACAGCTCCTGACTCACTGACTCATCCACTGTACCCGACCCACGCACTCGCGACCCCTCAAACCTGCATAGACGAAGCCTGTACGTTTCTTCAATCACTGTTGCATCTTTTTCTTTCTTTTTACAACCAATTTGATCAGAAATCAGAAATAATAATAGCTCAATAATAAATTTCAGCAGAATCTTCATCGTAATAGTTATGTTCCAAAACCTCTTATATATGTTCTTGAACAATTACAATGTATTTAAAAAGAATCACAACATGGTGACCGCAACGATATGACATATAATTACAAACATTGAGAAACTTTTTGATTTGGGATTGGTGAGTGGCATCGTTAAAAATGGCAGATGCATCCTTCATATCTCATAAGATCAAAGGACATGGTACCAACGTGGATCTATTTCTTTGATAACGACTCTTCCTATTTCCTTTCTGTTTTTCTTTTTCTTCTCTTCCTATCAATTTTTTTTTTTTTGATAAAGGATTTTCTTCCTGTCAACTTGTTTCTTCCACTAGCATGTATATAAACGAAAAGATATGTTCTGTGTAAAATAAATAGTTTTTGGGAGCATTGAATTTCAAATTGCAAACCAATCATATTCAATTACATCGTCACAAATTGTATGATCTTGATCAGGCGTAGAAATACTGGATCAAATGCTTGAAACTTTTAACAAAATTTTTGTTTTGGTAAAAATAATCTAATACCACATGAATCATAAAATGTAGTACAATAACAATATGTTGCTTTAATTATTCTCAAAAGTAATTGAGTGGTTAACTGTTCGGTATAAAACATGCATGGATATATTGTCAACTAGATGATGAGATTGCATTGCATGTCTCATGCATTGTCAGTTAATACCTTGATCAATAAAAAAAAAATCAACTTAGATTTTATATGAAAGAAAAACAGAGAGGCAAGGATTGATAATAAGAAGGGATGTATCAATTCAAAAAAATAAAAAATGAGAAGGGATGTCACGCAAGACCAAGCGGGTTAGTGGAGGAGTCCATGTTGGTCAGACTCATGAGGCTTTTTGGCATGTGAAAATCTATTTCTTCTCCTTCGTCTTGTCAATTTATTACTCTTCTCTTCGTATTTTTCAATTGTTTTGAACTTTTGATACTGGCTTCAGCCCTTCAGAAAATGACTATTCCTCATTTTTTACATGTGTTGAGACATTTTACTTACATGTATGCAAATGATTTACTAACTTCAGATTTAGACCATTAAAATTATTGCTTAATTATCATCTTCTATGATTCGAATCCCTCGACCATTACTCCTGAGGATTCCAATTATACTAGGAGTACGAGAACTGACTTTCTTCCCTTCAATCATATCAAATATCATTTTGATCTTAGATCATACATGTCTAGATCTCCAATAATGAATCGCTTAACTTTACTTAATGTTTGCTGGCGGTTCCAGTGTAACAGATGTTTTCTTCACATCGAATAAATCGAACATTACACATATATAAATTCCGAGAATAATAATAAGAACATCTCCGTTAGTGAGAACCTCTTTGGAGTTCTCAAACAAAAAACTATTAATAGTTTAATGTAATTAATTGTATTAATAAATTTTAAAAATTTAAATAGAATTCAACCAATACAAATGAAACAAGTGTGACTAGGGAGGGTATCTCAAAATATCTCAAATGAAAACTTTTTCTTATTCTGCATTGTTATATAGATGAGAACCTTTTGAAAACCATGTAACACTTGTAAATTATTGATTGGTCTAAAAGTTTTTTCAAAAATTGAAATTTAGTTAATTATAAAAATCTAATTATGCTCAAATATTTATAGTTGTTTGTTTGAAATACTCTCATGCTTTCTCTACTGGAGATGCTCTATTACCAACTTTGTGTGTGTTAAAAGTAAAAATTATAGAACTATTTTTTCTACCTCTTCTTTTAAGAAAACAGAAAACACAAAAGTCTTTGTATCTACTAGCTATAGATCAAAATACTGTAATCTCTTTTCCGCTTCTTCTATTCATTTCTCTTTTTTTACTCGTGCTACTATTTTTAAATTAACAATATACTGCTGTCAACTTTATTTTATTCCACTGTTTTGACCCACAAAACTAATCAGCAGAATCATAGTTGAAAACAAATGAATAAAAATAATTGGATTATAGAAGTATACAACTTAGCAGCCATGATTAGCTTATAATATACACAAAGACGTGAAATCTGACGTGGCAGTCTAGGGAGCTTCCCTGCTCCAAAAACAATTCCCCCAAATTAAAGCCCATAGAGAGAGTCTCACTATTAGACTTCCTTTCACTCTTTCTCTTTTCTTCTTCTCCTCTCTTCTTCTCTCTCTCTCTTTCTCTCTCTCGCTCTCTCCTAATTTTGCCCCCAAACCCTCCAATTATTACTAAAAAACGCCATTTTATTCTCCCGCCGGAGCTCCGGTGAGGCTTTTTTTGGCCGGAATCTGAGGAAGAGATGGATGTAGGAGTGTCTTCGGCCAAGTCTATACTCGAGAAGCCTCTGAAGCTACTGACGGAAGAGGACATTTCTCAGCTCACTCGCGAGGATTGCCGGAAATTCCTCAAGGAGAAAGGTTTTCTTCTACTTTTCCTCCTTTTCCTTATTTCATTCTCCGAGCGGAAGATGAAGATCCTCTCGGATTTTGCAGAGGAGCTTCGCACTTGGTCAAATTTTGAAATTCTCTATTCTCTCTTCGAGCTTTTACTTGTTTTTTGTTCCCGAGAATGGCGGCTGACACGTGTCGAAACAGGAATGCGCAGGCCTTCGTGGAACAAATCTCAGGCGATCCAGCAAGTTTTATCCCTTAAAGCTCTCTTTGAGCCAGGCGACGATTCCGGCGCCGGAATCCTACGCAAGATCCTCGTTTCCCACCCGGGAAATCCGTCTCGCGTAAGCTAATTTCCATTTTCGCATTGTTGTTTAGTCCAATTTTGCTTCGATTCGCGCAGAGAAGGAAGTGAAATTCGTGCTGGAGAAGAAGCGACAGATAAATCTGAGCCGCATAGTAGTAGAGAATCGTTGCTGATTTAGGGTATTGTTGCTCTGTGTATGTCCACAGGTTACAACGACGCCGATTGAGCCAAGCAACGAGGTCGGAGCTGGTGGCCGGATTCCATTTCAGGAAGATGAGGGCCCTTGCCACAGAAGAGATTCTCCAAGATCGGCTGAGTTTTCCGGCGGTTCTTCTGGCCAGTTTGTAGCAGAGAAAGATAGCTGCAAGACAGTTTCTCCCAGGTTTACCATTTGAATTCACGTGTTATATTTCTGCTTAAATGCGGCTGAAATGTTGTTTATGTGAAGAGAATGTTGTTGTTTAGGAAGTTTTTGGTTCACATCACATTAGAAGTAGAAACTATGTGGATACTTGCTTTCATGGTGGATTGGTCAGACAGTATTTAGGTTAAAGTTGCATCTTTTTTCCACGAGTTTCTTTGATCATAGATGCTTTATCTGTATTTGTAGTTGGTGTTTCCAGATCTTGGTTCTTGGTTCTTTTCAGTAATGAGAGCTTTTGGGAGTAGTCCATGTGCGAAAGCTTTAATACACGGTGTTGATATTATGTGCTTGAAACTTATTCGTTTTTGTAATGTTGCAGCAGAAGCCCAGCAGAAACAAGTGCTCCAGTTGGGCAAATGACGATATTCTACAGTGGGAAAGTGAATGTTTATGATAATGTACCACCTGAAAAGGTAAGTGAAACTAACATTATTCTGTCCAGACTGAAATATACATCATGGTTTTGATCATATATCCTGTATTTTTGTCTGCAGGCAAGGTCAATCATGCACTTTGCAGCCAACCCAATTGATTTGCCTGAAACTGGTATTTTTCCTTCTAGTAGAATGGTTTCGAAGCCCATGACTAAAGGTAAGCTTTTGCTCAAGTGTCTGATTTTCTATTTCTCAGTTGATATATAGATGATTCAAACTTGAAATGGTTTTGCTAAAAGTATAGATCTAACTTGAAAAGTGAATGGAGCTTGCATCTCCAGCTGATCTTGTTAGAAAATCCCACTTTCTATATCTAGAATCGAGATTGAACTAATCAACAAATTCATATTTTTTCAGAAAAGATGGTGGAACATCCCCATTATGGCCTTGAAAAGGCAAATGCTTCTCGTGATTCTGGTACAAACATTGGTCGCATTACCTTATAGATATAGAAACCTGTAATTCTAACACTTGAGAGCACAAATAGATCAACCTGCTTTCACCTGTCCATGCTAGATGAACTTGACTGGCTTGTTCTGCTTGATATATGATCTTGATTTTTTTTTTTTTAAATCTTGATCATCGTTCTTTGTGTTTTGTTGGTCTTTTCTGAAGATGTGGAGGGTCAGGCTAACAGAAAAGTGTCGTTGCAAAGATATCTTGAGAAGCGGAAGGACAGGTAGTTCTAAAAGAGTCAATTCCAAATACATAACGCTTATTTCCAATCGCTGAATGCTAATGTCCTTTCTTTCTGAGCAGAAGATTCTCTAAGACCAAAAAGGCACCAGGAGTTGCATCCTCTGGCTTGGAGATGTTTCTGAATCGTCAGCCACGGATGAACGCTGCTGCATATTCACAAAACCTTAGCTTGACAGGAGATCCACACGAGTCATCTGAAAATCAGACAAAAAGTCCCAATCTCTCAGTTGATCTAAACAGCGATCTCAACAGTGAAGGTAAGAAGATATAATAAAGCATTTGTCAGATATGGTTACAATGACTTTCCTCAAAAAAGCTCTCATGGCTTTGTTTTCTAGATATATAACAAGATGTGCAAAACTGGAGCTGAAGAAGGCGCTTAGAGCTCAAGATCTGAAAGAAAAACATTTGCTGCTCTTTATGCCATGTACACACAGAGACAAGGAATGTTCTCGTTCATTGTTAGAAGAAACATGGAGCTGAAGAAGTGTTTCAGTGCTGGATCTAGTCTGTTTATTATTTTTGTTTTTTTTCCAGGTTTTGCATCCGTGTTTTTTTTTGGGTCTGTAGTTTTGAGTAGGTTAGTGACGGAAATGTTGTTGTTTCGTATAGAGACGACAAGAGAGAGAGAGAGGAATGAGAGAATGGCGGGTTTGTATTATGTAAATGAATGTCTTTTGTATGACAATTTTTAATTTGAGAGAGAGACCTTATTGATTAACCAAACTTGACACTTTGTGAGATAGTTTCATTTTGTTAAGTGAGATTTGCAACTTTTATCCAAACTCCCAAAGCGCGTTGAGCGACAACCGAATGTAGTTAGAACTTAGAAGAGGTCAAAAGCAGTTGCTAGAGATAATTGGTTACAAGATATTATCCAACCAAAACCAGAAAAAGTAAAAAATCAAAATCGGAATACGTAAACCAAACCTAATCGAATACCGAAGATACACCCAATGGTGGTCTGAAACGCATCTCTCTGCTCAGGTCGTAATCGTATGATGATGGATGAGGGGTAGTTTGGTCCTTCGCTAAAATAAAACAGTAAAAAGGTTTTCTTGTTTTAAAAATAAAATAAACAAGGTATCGTAAAATCTGCGTGGTTTTGAAGACGAAAAGGAATCAGGGCATAACGGGGAAGACGACGTGAACAAGAACACAGTCATGGGTGAATCGGTGAAGGTATCTTTAATCTTCTTCTTCTCCTCTTCTGCTTCTGATTTGGTTTATACTTTCCGAAAATTTCCGGTTTTCGATATGCGGGCATGAATCGCCGATTTGGTTGATTCGTTTCGACGATTAGTCGATCATAACCACTTGTTTTTTTTTCCTTAATCGCGCAAGGAGTTTAATTCCTTTTCAGATTGAATTTAATTTGCCTCATCTCGGAGTTTTTCAATCGAATCATTTCTCCAGTTGTTGAAGTTTTTATAGCTAAATATCAGTTTTTTTTGTTTGTTTTAATGTTAAGAATATATATCAGATTTAGTATCCCCTTTTCATGTGTTTTTGCTTAGCATCAATATGTGATTTTTTCTTGTGATTTTTCACATGCTCTGTTGTGTGTTTGATTTTGTTTAGGATGCAAGAGAAGAGGTGATTGAGGCATGGTACATGGATGATAGCGAAGAGGATCAGAGACTTCCTCACCACAAGGATCCTAAAGAGTTTATCTCTTTGGACAAACTTGCAGGTTTGTGTGTGTCTTTGATGTTGGTCTCTCTCTCTCTCTCTGCTTCTTACATATTTTATCTCTGCTCATGGAATGTTTGTGTGCAGAGCTTGGAGTCCTCAGCTGGAAACTTGATGCTGACAACTACGAAACCGACGAGGAATTGAAAAAGATACGCGAAGCTCGTGGTTACTCCTACATGGTTTGTGACCTTTATTTGATAGCCTTTTTATATCTTTGTTTGTTACCACCTTACACTTGGTTATGAGTTTCGATAGAGTCTCTATGGTCTTGTGAAAAGAACAAGATGACCAGTTTTTAAGCTTTGGCTCTTACCGCTTTTTCACTCTCTTTCTTTTAATAGCGTCCTAAGATCTTGTCTTGGTTTGACGATGTTTACAATTCAGGACTTTTGTGAGGTATGCCCTGAGAAGCTCCCAAACTACGAAACCAAAGTAAAGAGCTTTTTCGAGGAACATCTCCACACTGATGAAGAGATCCGTTACTGTGTTGCAGGAAGTGGTAACTTACTTTCTGTTGGCTTTCTTACTCTAAAAACTTTTAACTTGATAAATAGTCCTGAATGGTTTTGTTTTCCTTGGAAAAAAAAAGGATACTTTGATGTTCGTGATCGCAACGAAGCTTGGATCAGAGTATGGGTGAAGAAGGGGGCTATGATAGTCTTGCCTGCCGGAATCTATCATCGCTTCACCGTCGATTCTGAAAACTATATCAAGGTTTATATTAATTTATTTAGCTCATTGTTGCACATACATATGTTAAGCTTCTTCTAGTCATTTTTCTGGTTGCTTAGCAAAATTTGGATTTTGTATTAAACAGGCACTGCGGCTTTTCGTTGGTGAACCAGTGTGGACACCATACAATCGACCACACGACCATCTTCCTGCAAGGTACATACAATGTCCTGTTTTCACCATTTTTGTCTCTCATCAAAATCATACCTTTGTGTTTTGTTCTCTTGTTGAAAGAAATTGATGCGAAACTCTGTTGTTTTACAGGAAAGAGTATGTCGATAACTTTGTGAACAAAGCTGTCGACGCCTCTGCTTAGAGATCTCTCTCTCTCTTTGGTTACTGAAATTTAAGGATCTACAATAATGAGAGATTTCCTCTGAAGTCTTTGGTAATGCTTGTGTTGTAAACTTGTAATCTTGTAAACTTAAAACTACGCTCTCTCTCTATTATAGTCTCTCTTTACCATCTCTTTGTCGTCTCCGTTCAACGAAGAGACTATAATTATTTACTCAGTGTGATCGTATTTTCATTACGTTTCTTTTGGTGTCTGTTGGAATCAAAGAAAACATATACTGTTTGCTTGTTGATGTATACATGTATGTGTTGATTTTCTTCTTTGTCAAAGGCTTAAAGCTCAATCGAATTAGAAGAATATAAAGATCACAAGCGTATTTTTCCATTACTTATTAAAAAAAAGAGTAATAAATGTTAAAGTTAAATTCACACAAGTAATTTTCCTTAACTAGATTTATTCTTCTACTCCCTTGTTTGGTTAGCGTACAAAAGAGACTTTGGTTTTCTCTTGGTGACCTAGTTTTTTGAAAATCTTCAATGGCTTCGTGTTCGAAGCGCTCGTCGTCGTCGCATATGCCTATTGAGTTAGTGGAAGAGATACTTTGCAGAGTTCCGCTCGGATCTTTGGCACGATTCATATCGATATGCAAAGAATGGTATACTCTCTTTAACGACAAGAGATCCATCTACAAACACTTGGATCTCTCACAGAAACGTTTCATACACGTCGATGAACGTCGTAAGGTTCAACACTTGAATCCTGAAACGCAAGCTATCTCATGTCTACAAGGTCCATCTGGTAATTTTACAATGATCCACTGCGACGGCTTATTGCTATGTCAAAGGTATTCTGATAAAAGAAACCTTGCAGTTTGGAATCCGTTTTTAAGACGAGTCAAATGGATCGAACCCTCAAATTCTTGCAAAAGATTTGATGTCTACGGTTTTGGACATGACAATGTATCTCGTGAAAACTACAAGATTTTGGGGTTTGATACTGAAGGCAGGTCATTAGAGATCATTGAGATATATGAGTTTAAGTCTAAACTCTGGAGAAGTGTTGATGCTTCTCTCAATTCGTGTGCAAAGCTTTGGTATACATTGTCTAATAGGGGTTTGTCTATGAATGGAAACATGTACTGGATTGCTCGTAGGAAAGAGGATGACTCCAAAACAATCGCAAGTTTTGATTTCTCCAGGGAGACATTCAAAGAGATAAGCTGCGGTGTTCCCTTTGATGATGCGGTTCTGTCAGGTTTCCAAGGAGATAGGCTTTCTTTATTACACCATCAAAGTGGTGTGGGTTACGAACAAGGTGACTGATGCGGTTGTTTCTTGGAGCAAGTTTCTTGATCTTACTAGCTCTCATGACTTCCCGATGTTATGTTCAAGTCACTGCATCTTTCCGGCATACTTCATCGACCACAAGACCAATAATATCATGGTGAGGTGCGGGAAATTAGATGTCATGAAGACGTACTTTGACTTCACCGTTTACGAAATGTGTGACCGTGAGCTCAAAGAACATGTTTTGACAGGACGAAGTAGATGGTCTTATACTAAAGCGCCTATGCGTTGCTATGAATATGTTCCAAGTCTCGTTCCTGTTCCAGAGTAAGAGCAAGAGGGTACATGATGCAGAGGATCTCTATAATTTTAGGGCTTTACTCAATTACTCTCGTAAATTTTCGTGTTCCGCAAGTTACATGACTACATGATGCAACGAATCTCTAATCTATCATCTTAGGGAATTTTAGAGATTTTCATGTTCTACAAGTTATTGTTTTTGGACTTTTTTTTTTTTTTTTTTTTTTTGGTTTCCTTACTAGGGTTAGAGAGAATTTTGTCATTAAGTTTTGCTTTTGATAATTCAATAAAATATTAAAAGAAAAAGTTAAAAGTTTTTTAAAACTAAAAAAAAAATTCAATTTTTTCAAAGACCTTGCTTTGCAACTTGCAAGAGCATTGCACTACAAAAAAAAGTGGTTATTCTTACAAAAAATTTGTGACCAATCGTTTAGTCATAATATTATGACCATTTATATATCATAATGTGACGAAATTATTTGGTTATAAAAGCGTAAGCATTTCGTTATAATATTGTGACAGAAATAAAAATAACAAATTTTTGTCACAAATTGTGTCAAAATTGTTATGAAATATAAGGTAAGAAATGTGGTTACGGTTTTGTGACTGAATCTTGTAACTAAATTATTACAATTTTGGTAACAAAACTTCTGTCACTCATAGTTACAAAATTTATATAAGTATCTTGTCACATTTAGCTACTGTTTTCGTAACTGTTGTGTTAGGTCATACTTAATGACATAATTGTTATTACTTTGTGACAATATTAAAAAAAATCATGAATTTAAAATTTCAGTAATTATTATTTTTATTCACTTTTCTTCTTCCTTAATTGTTGTTCTCATCTCTTAAAATAAGAAAACCTGAAAAAATAAAACTCGTTTTACATAAACACATTCCGAAACATTTACTTGTCTATGAAACATGTTATAAATATATAATTTTTCTTGTCTTATGATCATGGTTTGTGGTGAGCGAAGACAATGAAGATCTTGATAATATTAATTATTTTTTTTTTACAAAAAAAAGATCTTGATAATATTATAGAAATATTATAGAAGATAGCAAGAGTTTTTTAGTTGAGCTAGAGACTAATACTCTACAAATATGATTTTTTTTCCCAAATATGACTCCTATTTCAAATAGGACTCCTATTCTAAATATGACTCCTATTCCAAATATTATTTTTTATTCAAAGTAAAATCTCTATTCTAAATAGGACTTTCTGTACATATAAGAAAAAAGGGTATACGACTTATCACAAACGAGAAGAGGAAAGTCATGAAGAAACAATAAGCAGTATTTCCAACGATGCCTTTAGGAAGTTGATTTATTTCCCATTTTACGAATCCTGGCCAAAGTTTGAACAAGCCAACGAGCATGGGAGTAGAGAAACGAGCATGGGAGTAGAGAGAGCGTTAACAAACAACTACAATGACCAAACTGAAGCCATTAAAACAACAAATAATAACAGATCACATGCACACCAAACAAATAAAAATTCTTCACCGTAAATCAATTTGCAAATAATTTCAACTTAATAAAGCTGGAACTAGATCTTACACAATCTAAAAAGCCATTATAAAAGAGGAAGTGCATAACGAAATCATAATAAGAGTATTCTTCAATCATGGAGAAACCTAAAAAATACATAATAATTGTACGATAGCATAAATGACACAATTATTCATCGTCACTAGATAACTCGATATCATAATTTCCATCTTCGGTATTTTCGGTGTCAGATCCGATTTCCGCTTCTACTTCTGGATCATCAAGATCTTCTTCTTGGCCATGTATACTTGTCAACGTGTCGACGTGCAATGAATCAACTTGGACAATAAAATCATCATTTTCTTGTTGCATTGCACTGAAATCCAAGTTTTTGTTGACCAACACTTTCCCCCTCGGTGGTATCATAATTCCTGCTTTCCAGTGTTGATCTTTTCTTGGTTGAGTCATCCGTGGATATGGAACATAACATACTTGATCTGCTTGTGAAGCCAAAACAAAAGGATCGTATTTCTCATAACGTCTTTTATCGTTGATATCGATAATCCCTGACTTGTTTTTTCGTATACCATTTCCAATGGTTGAATCATACCAGTCACACTTGAAGACCACAAGCTTTAGATCAACAGGTCTGGGATAACGAAGCTCTAAAATCTCTCTCAATACTCCATAGAAATTAGATTCTTCACTTTAGTCATCAGATGTTGTAGCTTTGACACAAACTCCATAATTGGCATTCTTTTTGTCTTTCCCATGATCATATGTATGAAATATATATCCACGGCAAAAATAAATTGGCCAAGAAGTAGCTTGAATCATTGGACCATGAATGAGACTCAACAACCAATTAGGATATGATTTATCCTTCCAAGTATCCTCCACCTGTTTTAAAATCCATGTATACAACATATATAATAATATAAGCTACTCCACAATTTATCCAAATCAAATATTAAAACAGAAATAGATCTTACATGTTTTTCCAACCAGTTGGAGTATTCTTTATCCATAAGCTCATTTCTGTTGTTTACGCTTATCTCAGGATTAGCAGCAATCATGCTCTCATCAAATAACCTTTACAGAAAAAACACATGAAGAATAAATACACTGTTTTATAGTCACTATCAAAATATAAATTAAACTATATATGTGCATTTTAATTTGTCATACCTTTCAAATGATACTAATTGGTCGCAGTTCCGCAAAATATATGTATGTGCGATACGGTGATCTTCATCTTTGAGCCAAATCTTCTTTTCTTTACCACTGCCCCTCCCTGGTTGAGAAAAGATATCTGGAATTTCATCAGTGTCATGTGTAGCTTTTTGATCACCTCCATCATAGTGTCGATCTCCTCTCCGATTTTTGGTTTCGATGTGAGGCTCAAAGTAATAACTACAGAAAGTAGAAATTTCTTCGTTTATGTATTGTTCAACAATTGAACCTTCTACCTTTGCCTTATTCTTCACCTTTTTCTGTAGATGGCCCATATATTGTTCAAAACAATACATCCATCTAAATTGCACGGGTCCTCCAAGATTAGCTTCGTGTGGCAAGTGAATCGGTAAATGCTCCATGACATCAAAAAATGAAGGAGGAAATATTCTCTCTAGGTTACAAAGAACCACAGAAATATTTTTCTGCATCATCGCTACACCATCTCTGTGTATAGTCCTTGCGCATATGTCTTGGAAAAATAAACTCACACCTACAAACAGAAAAAAAGATTAGTATAAGAATATGAAGTTTAAATAAACACGACATAACAAATCAACGAAACAAAACAAAATCAAAAGCATAATCAAACAAATAAGCTTTCAGATTTTCTGCAAAAAAAATAAAATAAATAAAGTACTTATGTGCGAACAGCCATACTTCGGGACCGTTTGCCGTCGACTCAGAAAGACTTAGACGACGATCTTGGTACCAATGCAAAGATATCTAACTCAATTTTACCCAGAAAAAAACAGAGCTCAATTCCAACGTAAACTACATAAGTTATGAGAGGTTTAATCTGGGAAGGAATATGTTTCTTTGCGAACAGCCATACTTCGGGACCGTTTTCCGTCGACTCAGAAAGCCTTAGACGACGATCTTGGTACCAATGCAAAGATATCTAACTCACGTTTACCCAGAAAAAAACAGAGCTCAATTCCAACGTAAACTACATAAGTTATGAGATGTTTAATCTGGGAAGGAATATGTTGCTGTGCGAACAGGTATATTTTGGGACCGTTTGCCGTCGACTCAGAAAGCCTTAGACGACGATCTTGGTACCAATGCAAATCTCTATAAGTTAGGTTTACACAGGAAAAAACAGAGCTCAATTCCAATATGAACTCCATAAGTTATGCGATGTTCTATCAAGCTCAGAATATATTGCTAATCATCATCAATGCATAAACATGAAAGCATACAATGCAAGTAACTGAAAAAAAAAACCCAACGCATATACCACATAAATGCAAGAGAATCACAGAGGTAATTATAAAAATTGAATAAATGAAAGTTGAGAACTTACTAGATAGTGCACTATGTACAGATTGATCCATTAGCTCAGCAAATGCAATTGGAAGTAGCCGTTGCATTAAAACATGGCAGTCATGACTTTTCATTCCGGTTAACTTTCCTCCCGCTATATCAACACAGTTTGATAAACTTGATGAATATCCATCAGGAAATTTAACATCCTTTTCGAGCCAATGCAGAAACACTTTCTTCGCTTCTGCTTGTAATCTAAATATTGGGACTGGTGCCTTTCCATTAGTCTTTATCAGCAACTCTTTGCGATCACAATGCTCTTTCAAATCGAGTCGTGATTTGATGTTATCTTTTGTTCTCCCCTTCACATCTAGTAAAGTATTGATGATATTGTCGAAAAAGTTTTTTTCGATATGCATCACATCAAGATTATGTCGAAGTAGATGATCTTTCCAATAAGGTAGCTCCCAAAAAATGCTTTGCTTATGCCAGTTGTGAGTGTTACCATATCCTTGCAGTTTTCCATGATTTCCCCCGCAAGCAACTGTTTTTGGAAACCTGGAGACTTTATTCAAGAATTCATCGCCTGTTAGTATCGGAGGTGCACTACCATCCACAACTCTTCCCTTTCTGAAATTGACTATATTATGTCGATCTTCATGATCTTCTGGTAGAAAACACCGATGACAATCAAACCAACTTGTTTTTCTGCCATTCTTTAACTGAAATGCATTGGTCTTATCCAAACAATAAGGACAAGCCAACCGACCATGGGTTGTCCATCCCGAAAGCATACCATAAGCAGGAAAATCACTGATTGTCCACATGAGTGCTGCTCGTAACAAAAAGTTCTGCTTAGTAGAAATATCATATGTTTCAACACCATCAACCCACAGATCTTTCAGCTCTTCTATCAGTGGTTGAAGAAATATATCTAGACATTTCTTAGGATGTTTTGGACCAGGACTAGAATGGTTAGAAACATAAATTCTTGCTTCATACACATCTCAGGTGGCAGATTATACGGAGTCAATATAA